TGTCTCAACGAGAAAATAATATTCAAACAACCTAAAAGTTGCAGTTTTGAAACAAGTTACTGAAAGTCTCCTTCCTGACAAAGTTTGAGAAAATCTTTTTTAAAAGTTGAGTAGAGCCCTTGGACTGTTAGGGGTCAAAGTTCTGCATGGTTTCAGCTGTTATCTATTGCTTTGTAGAGTTTGACACCTCTGTAATTTGCCATGTATTGATTTATGAAGTGTGGTTTGTCTTGCTCCATTTCTATTGCAGAAATTTATGTTCTATCTCTTTTTAATTATTCTCTCTGGAGAGACAAGTCGGTGATCATGTTGATAACTTGCATTCTATATTGTGATACCGGGCCCAGTTGTTAGATTAAAACAATTTACTGTGTTAAGTTATGTAGCTTGTTATCACAGATCATATTTAGCTTTGTCCGGTGTCGCCAGAGACTGCTTTAGTGTTACTTCAAGAATCTTAGAGATCCGTTTTGTGTTGTCAAAGTTATGTTTCTAGCATGATCCTGAATCTGTTCAAGCTCTTCGTCTCCTGAGCTGAATGTTTCGGTTTATACCTCCTTTGTTCATTCTGGCACCACATGATTTAAATTTAGCTAAAGTTAGATCTTCACGTTTGTTGACTGTTTTGCATCATGTTTACATTTGTAAATTGGTTACTTGAGACATTTTTTCACACCAATAAATTTGCATTCTTTCATGCCAATCATTTCAAGAGGGTGGTAGAGCATGAACAATGGCATGACTACAGGTGGTAGATGATTTTGCCAGCCTGGTTTGACCATCTACAGAAAAGGTTTTCTTCTGAAGAAGTTCAGTTGAAAGAACTTTGCGTGCCTCTGAAAACCAATTGCCCTCCTGCAGTAAATGTTAATGTCACCCTTGATAACAACAAAATGCATTCATTCATTTGGTAATTTTTTTTATTAACACTTAAAAATTTTCACTTGTGGTAGGGTAAATTGCAACACATTTCACAAATCAGTTGATGCCAGAACTTGACAAAGAAATAAATGTAACCAAAGAGATGATGGACTAAAGTGTTGGCACGGCCTCACCTTGAATAATTAACGATCTGTCATACATGTGTATTGTATTTATTAATTGTCACTGTATATTTATTTTCCATCAGTGATCACATGT